AAATAAAATATAATATAAAAAATTATCCTTATATCACTATTTTTTTTTTATGATTTATAAATCCTCACACAATCTCATAAAACAAAAGAAATTCTCTGCAAAATTTCACAAAAAAAAATTATCTTCACCCCATCTCACAAAAGAATAGTTTCTAAATCTCTATCTCCATTGTGAAAATTCTTACGGGACTTTACAAGTTTTGAAGTAAATTATCTTCCATATCCAAAAATGCTTTAATTAAAAAGTTACAGGTCCTACGCCCTGTACAAAGATCATGACTTTTTTGAATTTCTATATCTAAGAGTTAATGATGAAAATAATTGCGACTTGGAAGACAATTTCGAATACGTCCTTCAAGAGCTAGTTGGACACATTAGTTCTTGAATGTGACTTATCGAATTAGATGCTTTAACCCCCTTTCTTTTTCTTTCTATTTTTTCTTTTTTCTTTTATATAACAACTGCAACCATAGATGTTGCGTTGACATACTAGAAAGAGTCAGGCCAATTCCTGCCCCAGAGTGGACACAACCCGACGCAAATTATTGCACTTTCAGGGCGCGATAGATACATTCCATTCACCGTATTATAGTTGTCTTCAATCACCTAACAAAAATTGAGTCTGTTCCGAACAGACCCCATAAGAAGAAAATAAACCCTCCAAAATAAGTTTCATACCACCGATAAGCTGTTAATTCGGATGAAAAAAAATTTGATTTTTTTTTAAATAAAATTTTAAATTTAAATCTTGTGAATGAAAAAAGAAACGTTGAAAGAGCTTTTTTTCTTAATTGTTCTAACATAATTTGATTTTAAATTAATTGAGATTTAATGTGATTATTAAATATTAAAAAATAAATAAATAAATAAAGGGCGGGACCGACCTCTTACATTATACGGAACTTCCCTCGGCTTTTGCTCCTTTCAACTTAATTGCTTCTGCGGAAAGTGAGCGGTGTTGTGAGTCTTGTGACCCCCCTAATTATAATGCTTCTTCGGTACGGTTTCAGTAATTTTAATTTGATTTTATATATTTTTAATATAAATTTTATATCAAAATTTCAGTT